TACTGGATCGCTTCAGATTTGAGAAAGAAATATTAGAAAGTCAATATATACAGGGTGCATCACAAAAATTTGCACAATCTGTTCTCTTTGAAACTGTAATAGATGTCGGCTTGAAATTTGAACACGTTAAACGGTTCAAAGAGCCTTATATTTTCGAGTATAAGATATAGGTATGCAGAAATGTGAAGAATATGCAGATTCAGATAAAAGTTTTATTAGGCTCGGAAACAGTTATCAAAATAATGAAAAATTAATACACAATTCTACCCCTAGGAGATTCAACCCCACAGCTTCTTACGTTCTAAAATATTATCTCTTTGAAAAGTTAAATGGATCATGCATAACTCGATAAAATAATATAAAAGAAAAGCTGTTGAGCATCTATTATTTCCTTATAAAGCGAAAGAAACTTTTGGGATAGTCATAATATCATATGTAATTTCGGGGAAAAACAGACTGTAACACTTAACGTGGTTCACCTCGTATATTGTTATGCAATCAGATATTGTATACATTATATCTGTTTCAATGATTTTGTTCCATCTATTTGATAACTTTATGATTGCTCTCCCAAAAAATTTCGTTTTCCTCTGCAATGCATTTTACCAATTTATGTTTCTGAGCTTCTAGCTTATTCAATTTTATAATGTTGAAAAAGTTTTGTAAAATAGCATTACAATTAATGTGTAATACGCGTAAGAATATTTTTGTAAAAAAAATTATGTCTACGTTATCAAATTTCTCTTCGATTACTATACTCGATGTCCAATTAAGAATTGTACTTATTTTATTATCTTACAACGACTTATTACTTATAAAAACTTTTGAATCGTATTTTAATCAATACTATCTTCAATTAAAGCAGTGTTTTAAAGAATGACGTAATACAGTATACTACTGATAATCGCACAAGGTGCTGTAATTAAAATCAATTCAACAGTCCGCGATCGTGCTTATCAGACAATATAGATATTGAAATACATTGACTGTTATCAACTTGACTCAATGAAATCGAATTGTTAGTGGTTCGGTCTTGGGTAGGAAATTGTGATGCGTTAATTGCTTGATCGTTTCCCTGTAGGAGATAATCTCATCAGAGGCAATACAGAGAGTCTTGCTCATTCTACAACTTTACCGATGAGAATTCCGAACGTGTGCTCGATTGAAATCAGTTTGACATAACTGTATACATTCCGCGCGATTAATTACGAAGTTACAAAGTGATTTAATTAAATGCCGGCTAATCGAAGCCGTTGCATTACCATTTGAATGTTACTTAATCAACGTGTCAAGTTGAGATTCGCAATTCCCGAGCACACGTCCCGCAGACAGAGTATTAATTTCAACAGGCCATCAGTTTTCGCTTTAATTGGATAGAGTTTGTTCGTCGCGGCACGCGATAAATGTCTGCTAGACGTACCCGCGGAATTTTAATTACTTTTCACCGTAGCTTTCAGTCTCCGATATAACTTTATTTATAACTTTATTTTCGCCGGCTGAACATTTTTCTTTTTCATTAACTTTGCCTACGGAACTTAAAAGCATGGGATCCATAAGAAATAAAGTCTTGAGAGGTATAACTCCGGGGAACGAATGATTATTCCTCGAGAAGAATAGTATAACACGAAAGGATCGCGAAGTATGTGATACGAAACTTGAAATAAGGAATTTATATTCTCTGTGTATTTACTTATATGTACATTTGCTTAAGCCCTTGTACTCTGAAAATCTTTTTATGATAAAACAACCAACCGCACCAGCACATTTTTATAACGAAACTTTGTAAAATTAGTAGTTTTGTTTCGATAAGGTAAGGTGGATAAAAATGGTTATAAATTTGTGACTGTTTATGGATTTATGAGTAATTTAAATGTAGAATATAAAACGATCAATGTAGCTTCTGAATAGCTTAAGTATTCTTTGAACTGCAAAAAATTAATCTCTATCATTCACAAACTAATTTTCTATTCGTTGGAAGAAATCCTAAACCGTGCTTTGTTATAACTCTTTTTATAAAATATACACGTTGTTCCATAAGATCGCAACAATTTCAAATCCATTTTACTTAAAAGTCGTTGACTATCAGAAGTGACACATGAAAAATTGAACATTATACGCTCAGTTTTTATTAATGCGGTCATATCATCAAAGCGTTATCACGAAGATGTAATCAACGCTGTTGAAAAATAACAAGTAAAAGCAGTTTCGAGTTTGAAAGAGGCGAAGGTGAAGCAGCTAACAATTCCACGAATGTTATCCGAAGATAAAAATAAATAATAAAATCGACGTTTTGATTGGCAAGATAAAAGCTTCTATTTGTCCATGTTAAATGATTATTCGACACTTTTCTGAAGAAGTCTCTTTCATCTACTGCACCTGTAGAACGGTTATTTTCTCTCGCAACAATATTAGATGGGCCCAGGCAAAGATCTCTCATGGATGAGCTTTTTGAAGAGAGAGCTTTGCTTACGACAAACTGCTGCAAAGATTTCTTAAGGAAACATTTTTTCTTATACAGATTAGAGTCCTTAACAAACTGAATTGTATTTCTTAGATGTTAGATATATAGTATGTGGTGTGTTGTTAGCGGCTGATTTCCGCAGGTGATGCATTTTGTATGCTCGATCCATTTTGCTGAGAATGAGTTGTTTCGAGGAAATAGACGATTTTGGTGTGGTCGATACTTAATCGGGACAGTAAGCATTTATCTTTCTCGTTCATCATTTTCCATTTATTTTCTAATAATAATAGTGAAAATAAAGATCTGAGATAAATTATTTAAAATAATTGCTTCTTATTTTTATTCCAATTAAAATTCGGTCTGGTTTGGGTTGCTTTTAAATCAGGCGCGCCAAAATTTATAAGAAATGATTTGTAACAAGTTGAGAAAAAATGAAATCGCACCTTGCAACGGGAAAGCGCAATTTTATTAAAAAAATGTTAAATTCTGTTGCTACTAATTCGTTTTATACTGGATTACGCATCATCGTCACCTCGTACAATACAGTATCTTAAGAAAGTACCTTATTCGAATACCTACAGAACACATTACCTACAATAAATGTGATATGCCGATTTTGATGAAAACTTGCAGATTCATAGTGCAGCTAATAATACTGATCACCTACTTTTCCTTTACCGACAATCGTCCACATTTCGCGGATGAAAACTCTCAAAGGATAAATTGTATATTTTCAACAACAAATATAAGCATATAAACAGATTTTAAAGAATCCATCAGATTCTTTGTTCATTATTTTTTGTAAATATTTGACAATTTTAACTAAAATTTGTATGTGCAAATTGGATATCTAAATTCGAAATAAAAAAAGGATAAATCAGAATTTCTATTTTTTCTAAATTGACTAAGATAGTCATTGTTTTAGCTAACTTGAACGAACTTTTGCCTTCTATAGACAATCAAAATTTTCTAGGCTAATTTGGGTGCCATTTTGGTTTGGAAATATTTAATCGCCACATCTTTGCATTTAAGGGGGTGTCCTGAATTAGAATGTTCTAAAACAGCGTCTTTTTGTGGTTTTTTTTCGAAGCGAAAGAAAGAAATGAAGTTATTGAATTTTGAGCTATGGTTTTATATATGTTTGATAAATACAAAAAAAATTTTTTTAAAGTAAAAAAAAAAGAAATTATAACAGATTTCTAAGCCTATTTCATACAGTTTTCAATCGGTGTGAAAGATCCACCTCGTAATTCTTGATCGAAACAAAAAATCAAAAAAGGATTAAATTATTGTATATTTTTCTCCTCGATGAACTAAAAAAGTTCGTCAAAAAGTTTATTTAAATAATTCTTATAGTTTATTTTTTCTTTTTATAAAACACATTTTTTCTTTAAACCCGCCAAAATTCTTAATTTCACACTATTTCCTGCCTTTTTTTAGTTCATTTTTTTTGTTGCCTCTCGATATCCCCACTACGAACGCGTTTGTTAGATGTCCGCGACAGTTTCCGCGTATGCGTTCTTCCGAATATTTGGCGAAAGAACCGTAGGGATATCGATGGTACATTTGGCATGTCGGTCTTACGCTTTCAAGGTCGCTTTGTGTCACGAAACCATCGGAAAATTCCGTGGTCGAGTGTCACCACATGTAGATAAACATAATCGCTTTTTCTTAGCAGAAATCATAAAAGGTTTCGACGACTAGATTTTGCAAAGATATACGAATAAAACACGGAGATAATTAATTCACTATTCTATTGGTATTATCGTGTTACATAATTCACGATAAATATACCAGATCTGCGCAATAAATAACATATTTCCGATTTATAATTACAGATACTTATGCTTCGTTCGTTAAAATTATATTACAATCCTATCGTGTTACGATCTTATCTGTATCATTGTGAACAGGATAAGAATTTTAAGAACTTTCGTTCTAAATCTTTATCAATACGTTATAAAATCCAATCGAATAATTCGATTTTGTTACATATATAAGGTGTGATCTTGTTTAAACCATGTTGTCTTGTTTACACCATTATAGTTGTCTGTCATTAATTACTTTCTTTTTATGATACTCTTCCAAGAGTAATTTACTTCTCTCATTGAAATTGTTATACAGAATCGCTTGCTTCGAATTTCTCGACATCTTCAATACTTTGATTACAGTTTGCATTCACAGCCCTCCTAAATATATATCTAGGTACATAACACATTTTCTTTATCGTTATTAACGATTTATCCCAGCATTGCACCTTTGATATGTAAAACGCAAAACGATAAGACGATTTATACGTGAGTGATAATTCTAAAATTGTGAGTTATATAATAAGGGGAATTACCGTTTGAAAATACTTTAAACGTAAATCGCCAAATGATTGTATCGTCCGATACAAAGTAGAAAGATATGTTGATAGATATGGTGATAAGTTAGCTATAAAAGTCAAATCTTATAACTTGGCAATGTCAGTTCCTTCCCAAAAACCGACTATAAGAGAGTTTGTTACCTCTTCATTGTTAGAAATAAATCTGTTAGAATGAGAGGTGAGTAATTTTACTTGTGATATAGTTCGTAACCACGTATGTTGCTTTTGAGATATTATTTTAGTTTCGCATATCCTTATATCGCATATATTATACGAACAATGTATTTTGTGAGAGAATATAGAGAACGAAATAAATTTTTTCGGCTACTGGTGAACATCAATGACGAAGGAAGTTGTTTTCAATTACGAATAACCATCGAAGATGAATATTTTTTGCTTATTGGAAACCACTGTCGAAAATTGTTATGCTGCTAACTGTTACACTTAGCATTCCTATAATTAACACTGTGTCGTATATGCATTCATCAGGTTGCTACACTGACGATTAATACTGTTTTTAGTTACCTATAACCATTAACGATAACCAAATTCCATTGATTAGCAATAATGGATCTCGTTTTAGTCCGTCACTGATGATAATAATCAAAAAATATTAATCACTTATACTACTCATTTGTAATCAGTAACTGTAAAAATTAAAATCACCAAATTCGTCACTAAATTTTTTGATCGTTAGTTTGCTATTTAAACAACAATTAGCTTTTTCTTCATGACACGCAAAATAGTATTGACATGCAGAATGCCAGATTCGTTATTTTCTTCTATTTCAGATTTATTATTACTAGCCATTGCCGTTTTGGCAGTGACAGGGAACGCTTTTGCCGAAGTATACAAAATTCCGAGAGGTCCAGCAGAATCTTCGAGCAAAACGAGAGAGTCTAATGTCCACCTCAAACAAATCGACTTACTACCTCATGCAACAGAGGAAAGAGGTGTAGATTGTCCTCTAGAGGGATATACATTCTTACCGCACGAATCTTCTTGCACCAAGTATTACTCTTGCGAAAACGGAAATAAGTATATGGGTGAATGTCCTGAAGGCATGATATATGATTACATTAGAGAAGTTTGCGATTCGCCGCATGCCGCCATATGTATAAACCAAAAGTATAACGACTTTTACAACAATGATAATAATTGCCATTTTCCATCTGATTGTCCATCCTTTGGCCATAGTCGTTATTCTCATGAAATAGATTGTAGTTTATATTACGAATGCTCCAATGGTCGCAAATGTCTTCTGAAATGTTTCGACGGGCACGTCTTCAATCCAGTAATCAGCACGTGCGATATACCCAAGAACGTACCCAACTGCCGCAGTTAGATACCTACTATGAATGCAGTGTAATCCTTGCGATGTAGTGTCGGTGTTAACAATATTCCTCATGAATGTTACTGTAACAGATATTATAAATGCTCAGGCTATATGAAACTTCTTATGACGTGCAAAAGTGGACAACTCTTTGACTATACAGAAGAAAGATGCATTGATAGTAGTCATGCTTACTGTTATATGGACAGTAATACTAGGAATTGAGAAACTTTTGGTACCTAGTACAACACAGGCTTTTACACAGAAGATTGTCAAAAATATTGTAGATGTAGCGATAGGAACGTGTATATCGAGCAATGTGCCAACGGTCTGTACTACGATATAATATTGGGAGAACGTGCCTCAAAACGTAAATTTATCGTCGAACTGTCCGTCTCTACCTGATTGTAGCAGTAGTATTGGTGTTGTATCCCATTATTGTAAATTTACACTTTGCTATGAATACGACGGAAAGTCAAATATTGCAAGGTATGCGATACTGGATTAAAGTTATATTATATACTTGGAAGCTGTGTGAGTAAAAATGCTTAATGTGGCAACTGCAACTTACTGGCAAACAAAATATTTTTGGTTGGATATACCATTTGTGATTAACTTGCCTTAAAAGCTGGAAAATGAATCGTAGAATCAGAAAGAAATGAATTTGTAGAATAATCACTAAAGGTAAATGCTTTGTTGTAATACCTTCGAGTATCTCTGAATTTCAGAATATTACGATGTTACAAGGTTAAAATGTAATGCTGCTTTTATATATTATTTAATTTATGTAATCTTTTAGGATAACTGCATTGAATTTGACACAGATCGCAAATTTTCTGTAAATAATAAAATTAGTGATAAATGACACCATTTAATTAGCATTCTTTCTTATATGTACACATAGCATGAAACGATATTAATTTAATTATATTCGATTCATCGCCATGTATATTGTCACGATTTTATTTTGTAAAAATGCGACTGATTAACAAAAACATTACCATAAATGTAGTAGTTACATACAAAGCAAACGTAAATCAAAGATGCCATGTGAAATGTAAAAGATCGGATTATAAAACATTCGATGGAAATAAAAGTTGCTCGATATTGCACTGTATTCTATATATATTAAATGATTTATCAAATTGGACTATACCTATGGGGTGATAAAAATTTAATTTCCTTTACCAATAGTTAGACATAGTACATAGTTTAAAGATGAATATCGAAATGTGCATAGTCGACAAAATTGTACCTTCGGCGACTATGGAAAATGAAATATTCAAGACCACGTTTAAAAATATGGGCGTTATATGGTGCATATAAAGTACTAGTCACTAACGTTACAAAAGCATTGCAAAACGTAAAATATGTTTCCGCTACTGTTGTTATTTGGTCCTCGAAAAATCGGCGATATTTTTGGCCTGAGAATATACTTGAAAGAAGATCATCGGTTTTGTCATAGCGTCGCTTCAAACGCACACATTCGCTCAAATTGCTCTTAAATTGCAGACGTTCATGCTTTGTATAAGTTAAGTTTTCTTAAAACTGTTGCAATAATGATTTAGAACGTGCAGAATTTTGTCAAAGCCATTCCAAATTTTCGTGTACAATACGAAACAGATGTGGTGTATTTTGGGGAAATTACTGACTTTTACGCCAGTGACAGTTTTCTTCATATCTTCGTCGTAGTGCTCATTCACATATTTATGATCGCGTCTATTCGTGTTACGTTTCAAAAATTTACACGGTGTATCATAAAAATGTGCTCCACTTTGCGATTTGTCATCCCGTCCTGAGAACGGTGACATTATTGAAGAAAAAACTGAAATGATTCATTTTTTCAAATATTAGCTAATACGGAGAAGATTTTTTCGTTACATGAAACATTAGACACCTTATGTAACTTCACAGAGAGACATTTCAATTTGTTTTACATGGATGAATTATTGATATTTCTGCGTTCTCTTACAACTGCTATAAATAAAGTACAGACTGAAAACAATATGTACTATGGATGTCTAATCTCATGCTTCCTATATGTTCGGGAGCAAATTAATAAATCGAAGTTATTCAATTCGGGAGACTTTTTTTTCGTGGAGGAAACCTTCATAGGCGTCCCGCGCCCTCCGGGAAGAGAGCGCCGGGTAATGCCGGATTCGTACCGGCTAAAACCTCCACGATGATTGTCCTGACGATTAGTAGGAGAACCCCGGGACCACCTTTTCGTATTGCTGCTAGGGCACTCTTTCGTCTTCTCCCCGATGATGTAATCGGAAGTCATCCTTGGTTGATTGGGCCGTTAGGGGGACCACTCCTCCTAAGATCAAGCTGCCTGGGCCGTCGTGCAAATCCAAAGGGGAGGCCAGACCCTCTTCGGCGTGACGGTACTCCGGCGTGACGGCACTCTCGATGGGTGTTATCCTCTCACCCTTTCTCTTTTGGCGCGCTCCTTTGCGCGCATGACTTGCTCGCAGTAGGGGCAGACGGCGATGTATTCCTGTTTCCTCCTCAGCATTGCTTCTACGATCACTTCGGGGGCCAAACTCTCACCGATGGCGAGTCGTAGGACACGGCGCGGTTCCTCCCATGCCGGGCAGAACTGCAGCGTGTGCTGTGCCGTGTCTTCTTCTTCCTCGCAGTGATGGCACGTACTAGTCACCTCCCGCCGAATCCTTAGCAGGAACTCCCCGAACGCTCCGTGCCCGGTGAGCACCTGCGTCATCCTGTACGTTAGCGGGAGTCCGCCATGATCTCTCCAGACCTCCCAATTCGGTAGGACCGCTCCAACGCCACCGTTCCAAGTCTCGAGCCTTTCCTCCCCCGGAAGTAGCGGACCGACTGGCCGGCAGAGGGCGTATCCCCGCC